AGTGAAGGACCCGTAACGACTAATGCTAGATCATCAGCATAGCTTAGCAATGTAACCCCTTCTGGAAAGGACATGGTAACAAGGTTTTCCATAAGGATGTTAAAAAGACTAGGACTGAGGACTCCTCCTTGTGGAGTCCCATTCTCGTGCAAGTGGTAGTCCGACACTTGTCCTTGCAACTTTACTCTGGCATACCTGTGACTTAGGTAATCTTGAATCCATGCTAGCATTTTCCCCCTCACACCTTTTTTAACTAAGGTGTGTAGTATTGCTGGCGGGCTTGCAAGTTCAAACGCTTTTTCCAGATCAAGGAAGACCACTATAGCTGGACCCGAGTTAACTGTTCCTAGTAATGTTGCTATGCAGTTTGCAGCACCTACTCCTCTAGTGAAGCCAAATATGTGTTTATGAAGGTCTCCAGTCTTCCACAGTAGCCTATTTAAGACCATCCGTTCTGCAGTTTTACTAACGCATGATGTTAATGAAATGGGTCTGTAATTGCCAGGTTCATTCGGCTTAGGAATCTGTATGATGTCTGCTTTCTTCCAAGAGGGCGGTAGTTTGCCTTGCTGCCAAGACGCATTGATGACGTCCTATATCCCTCGGTCTCCAGCAGGACCTGCATGTGCGATCATTGAGTATGTAATGTTATCAGCACCTGGTGCAGTGTCCTTACCACCTTTTTTGGCTCTGCTTAGTTCCTGGTCGGTGAAGGGACAGTCACTTTCGTCATTTATAGCTATGCCCTCATGAATGACTGTCATCCTCTCTTGTTTTAAGTGTTCTTGCTGCCTTCGGACCATTGCAGGAAGCTGATAAGAAGCTGTTCTTTCTGCAAATTGTAGAGCAAGTCTCTCAGCCTCCTGCAATGGTTGAATACATGCCTGTGGCCAGGCTGGTCGACCTGATATAGTTTTAATCTGACCCCATATCTTGCCAAGACTACTATGCTCATTTAGAGTTTGACACCACTCAAACCATCTTGCCTCCTTTACTTCTCTAGAAACTCGCCTCGCTTCAGATATCACCGCTCGTAGCAGAGTTCTTCCTTCTGGTGTGGGGTTTCTCTTTAGATGTTTTCTGAAGATGTTGACTCTGTGGTTCTGTTCTTTAACGTCATTACTATAGAACCAATAGTTCTTTCGTTTCGTGTTACCTGTGATAATGATTGGAATAGCTGTGTTCGCAGCAGCTGCAACGGCTTCCTGCAGATTGGTCTCGTGTATGTTCAAATCCTCAGGTGGCGTGTACGTTGCATACCATTTTTCAAGTTCTTCCTGGTATACATTCCAATTGGCCTTTCCTAAATTCCACCAAGGCTGCGCAAGAGGTGTAGGAGGTCGTGCTAGGTTTAGTGTCGTGACAGTAGCATAGTGGTCACTGGTGATCACCGGGTCTACTTCCCACTTCGCCTGATGCTGGAGTGCTGTGGAGATGAATGTAAGATCAAGGGAACCTCCTAGAATGTGAGTGGGTTCCCCAGTGTTGAGAAGTGTAATTTCAGGTACTTCACGCAGAGCTGCAGCTAAATGGCGCCCATCTGCATTGGCTTTCCCAGTTGCACCTAACTCTGGATGATGAGCATTAAAATCTCCAGCAATAATTAAATTTTCCTGCGTGGCCAAGGCAAGCACTGCCTCTGCTTCTAGTTTACGTCTAGGGGGCTTGTAGACGTTGTATATGAGGAGCTCAAAATTAGCCATATTCACTGTAACTGCTAATACCTCTACTCCATCCCCACATGAAACTGAGTCTATTTTCTTGCTGGGTATGGTGTTTCTGACTAGGGTCATTAATCCTCTTAGTCTCCCCCGCTCATACGGTAGAACATAGTGCTGATATCCAGCTAATCTGAAGGATTTCGTGGCTGGGAAAAGAGTTTCTTCCAAAACGATTATATCTGCTTTCGTGCTGATTGCAGCCTCCTGAAGTGTGTGTTTTTTATTTCCAAGGCCTTGTATGTTCCACTGCAGAATTCGTAATGGCCAGACGACGGGTTCGGGTGGTGTTGCTGGTTCTACTAGAACTCCTCCTCGGAATCGACGTCTATATTCTCCGCCTCGCAAGGCGTGTCGCTGCAAACCGGACTGCATTGATAGTTCGTGGTCATCCCCGACGTTGTTGGAATCTGTGCATAACTGTGGTCCATCGCTATGTTGTTGGAAGTGCTGCAGGTCGGACTGCATTGATTGTCCGTGGTCAACCCCGGCATTGTTGGAATCTGTGCAGAACTGTGGGCCATCACTTTGTTGTTGGTATTGCTGCAAGTCGGACTGCATTGATTGCTCGTGGCTGTTTCTTGTGTTGGCGGAACCTGTGCATCTCTGCTGTTCAATACGTCTTTGTTGGCGTTGCTGCATATCAGACTGCATTGGCTGTTGTTGTCTGTCTCCTGTGTTGGAAGATTCTGTTGATCGTGGGTGGTCACTGCTTCTTGCAGTTGCATTTGGGAATGTTGATGTTCCGGAGTCTTGACTATCCGACTGTTGTCGGTAGTCAGTATGTCCAAGTTGCGGCCTCTCGTGCTCCATCCTGACGGAGACTGTCTATTTCTCGTGTAACTGAGGTCTGCTGCGCGATCGTGTCCATTATCACATAAGTGATGTCTTGAGTCTGTTGTTGTGAGGCGTTCTGCGTCATCTGTAGGCAATTGATAATGGTCTCTGCCATGATCTTCACGATGGTTTTCAGCTGGACCTCGGTAAAACTGTATAGCTGGTGAGCAGATTCCGAAAGTAAGTGTTTTCTGCTCTTTTGCATGTGCTGGACTTCTGCAACACTTTCGTGTAATGTCTGATTCGGAATTGACAGATTCGGGAAATTTTGCTCTGTGAGAGCGGGTGGCTGTTGCGGCTGTGCACGAGTGTTCCAGACGTTGGTGTTGGTGGATGTACTGCTGGGCAATGTGTTGATCCTGGCCTGAGCCGTCTGCACTTTTTGTTTCCGTGCAGAGCAGGTTGTGCTCCAGGCATGATGTTTGCCTCCACAATTTGGACATTTGGCTGTAGTGGTCTGGTTTGCCTTGTGCTTGGCAATACAGTCTTTGGTGGGATGTCTCAGGCTGCACACTCCGCACCTCTCCTGTCCTGTGCAGCGTGACTGATGGTGGCCGTATTTCTGACACCTGAAGCAGCGTAGGGGTTCCGGGACGTATGGCCTCTGTCGGTATGACCCCCAATTTCCAAGACCGAAAGTTTCCGGCACACGTCCCATGACGGTCACCAGAACCTGACGCGTCGCTGCCTTGTCTACTTTTGTGTGGCAACGTTCCGCACTCAGGACTTGCTTGTGTTCTAGCACTGGATCCAGGGGAAAGTCGATTGGGTATCCCAAAAGCACGACTCGTGTGCGTCGTTCTGAAGGGTCCAGCTTTACCAAGCACACAGGTTTCCCCTGCAGGACTCTTACCTTCTCTAAGTAATGTGCAGTCTGTTGGTCTTGAGGTGTCAGTATTATTTCTCCCTTCAGGTTGACTGTAATGGAAAGTTTGAGCTCTGGCTGTTCTTTTTCCATCGCCGTTACTACTCCATATGCATCAACAGTGACACCATTGTTGATAAGTAACAACACGAAGCTTCAACAGTGACACAGTTTGTGAGAGGTGCCAGCACGCAGCTTCAAAAGTGACACCTTTTGTGAAAGGTGAAAGCACGCCGCATCAACAGTGACAACGTTTGCGAGAGGTGCATTTCATAACTTCAACGGTGACACCGTTTGTGAGAGGTCACAACACGCAGTTTCAACAGTGACAACGATTGTGAAAGGTTACAGTACCCATCATCAACAGTGACACCGTTTATGAGAGGTGAGAAGCACGCAGCAACAACAGTGACACCGTTTGTGAGAAGAGACAGCACGCAGCTTCATCAGTGACACCTTCGTGAGAGGTGAGAGCACGCAGCTTCAACAGTGACACCGGTCGTGAGATGTGACATCACAGAGATTCACTGGTGACTTCTCGATGCTTGAACACTAACTCCGTTTTTGAGAGGTGACAGTACTTAACATCAACAGTACGAAGCTTCAATAGAGAGATAGTTTGTAAGTGGTAACAGCATGCAGTTTCAACTTTGTCACCGTTTGTAAGTGGTTACATCACTCAGCTTCAACAGTGACACCGTTTGTTAGAGATGATAGCACGCAGCAATAACAGTGACACCATTTCTGAAAGGTGACAGCAGACAGCATCAACAGTGACACTTTTTTGAGTGGTGACAGCATGAAGCTTCAACAGTGACACCGTTTGTTAGAGGTGAGAGCACGCAGCTTCATCATAGACACCGCTTGGGATAGGTGACAGCACGCAGCTTTAACAGTGACGCCGTTTGTGAGAGGTGACAGCACACAGCTTCAACAAAGATAATGGTTGTGATAGGTGATAGCACACAGCTTCAACAAAGACACCGTTTCAGTAATAATGGGCTACGAGAAAAGCTACAGTGATGGTTGTGAAGAGTTTGCATGCGCTACAAAGTGCACACAATGCTCTGATTTACGAATTTTGCGATATTTTTGTACATGTTCGTTAAAACTATTGTTATCTTAAGTTATCGTATCGAATGTTTGATAAGTGAGCAAAATCTATTGCATTTTTACTGGAGCTTTTTACTTAGGGGACAATGTGACGGTGCCTGACGGACTGGCGCCGCCCACCTGCTCTGTGACTGATAGCGAGTAGTGATTCTCACACACACTCTCCCCTTCCTCCACCTCGTTCTCACTGTTTCACAAGCGTCAGCTTTGAGTTGTTTTGCCTATCCAAAATCCTTTGAACGTCGGAAACCCAATTAACCTATAGAGGTCGATGCTTAAGTTCGAAAAAATCGTCAATATTAAAAAAAAATATATAAAAAAATAAAGCTTTGTAATTTAGACGATGTTGGCGAAAACGTTACAGTAATGTTGCATGACGTGAGAGGACAGGTTTATCTGTTTTCATTTTCTTTCATCTGATCAGAATCGATTGAGATCTAAATGTGTTTCAACATAAAAAACCGTCGACGAATATAAATATTTCATCCGCCTGGTGCTGACACCGGCATGAACTCACCCGTGAAGGAGGCCGGGCTGACACCAGCCAGCTGGTTGTACCCTAAATCGATCAGTCCTGTCGTGGGCGAGCACTTGAAGGAACCCCCAGCGAGATAGGTCAATGAGTTGTCTCCAAGACCCAAGTTCCTGAGGTTTGGTAGATCACGGAAGACTCCTGTGGGTGGACACAGCTCAATTTTAAAGATCGTGAAATATTTGCAAAATGGCAAATTGATTTTAATTTAAAAATCCATAAATATTTCAGATACTAATGAAAATCGATTAAAGGTTTATCTCTCTAATATGTTTTGCAGGTATATAAATATATATATCTATGAATGAAGCTAAAAGCGCAACTACTGTATATAATTTTTAGTGCATAATTTGCATGGTTGTTATGTGAGAGGCCAGAGATTTCCTCCTGTGAGCTGCTATGGAAAGAGATGATAAGTTATCATTAAAAATATTAACTAAAGGAACGACTTATGTGTGAGTAGAAACACGAAATACAGTGACAAGTAGAGTATCACATTACATACCTAAGGTCACCTGGGTAATATTGGCGCTGGAGAGGTGGATGTCAACCAGCGCGGAAGTATTCGAAAAAGCACTTGGAGGGAGTTCACCCAGAGGGTTCCCGGATAGGTAGAGCGTCTCTAGTGTGGTAGAGAACAGCATGGGGAACCCTCGTATATTGTTGTGTCTCAGGTCCAACGACTGGACATGCGTGAAAGTCTCCAAATCGACGAAGGGAAACGAGGAGATATTATTGTAATTGAAGACTAAATAGGTTACGGTGGAGACGCTGCCGGAGAGTGCACCCTCTTGGATCTCCTCCAGGCCCCCTTTGGTGATCCAAATCTCTTGGAAAGAGGCGTCGCCCAGATCGCCACTCCGAAGAGTCTTCAGATTCTGGTTGGCTTTAATAGTGAGTCTGCGGAAGTTTGTGGATGGGAAGTTAGCTTGGAACACAGCAGCTAACTCATTTTCGTCCGCCACCTCAGAACAATCCATGTCCAGGACTTGCGGGTCCTCCTGAGAGCACACGCATGGAGTGATATCCTCAGCTGCTAGGCACGTCGCCAACCGTTGAACATTACTGGCGTTCCCTACCATTCCTAGGCATCTCTCAAGTTTGGAACTTAATAACAGCAGAAGTAATATATATGAAGACTCCATATTGAACGAGATAGTATTCAGCAAATCTTGGCAATGCGTCTGGCCACTATGGTGGCTAAGAAACCAGACAATATGACAGGTACCTCCCGAAATCTAAACATGCAAAGCCACAAACCCAAGCGAGACTACACAGTGTTGTGAGGACGGTGGACGGTTATCAAACTCTAGCAGAGAGGTACACAGCACCCGTCTTATATCTTCGGTCACAGTGCAGCAGGGCGGGGCCGTTTGTAGACTGGGAGCCAGACTAGACAGGTGTTGGGGGAGTTATGATAAGAAGGTTGGTTGATACTGTCAGGTGTTGGGAGGTGTGGTAAGAAGTTAGGTTGGTACTGTCAGGTGTTGGGAGGTGTGGTAAAAAGTTAGGTTGGTACTGTCAGTTGTTGGGATGTGTGGAAACAAGTTCTGTACTAACCTAGTTGTGCTTGCGGGGGTTGAGCTTTGGCTCTTTGGTCCCCCCTCTCAACAGTCAATGAACTGGTGGACAGGTACCTGAGCCTACTGGGCTCTATCATATACACATATGAAACTATGTGTGGAGACCGCCTCCACCACTTCACTGACTAAAGCATTTCATCTGTTAACTACTTTGACATTGAAAACGTTCTTTCTAACGTCCTTGTGGCTCATTTGAGTACAAAGTTTCCATCTGTGTTCCCTTGTTCGTGTCCCTCTGGTGCTAAATCTTTTTCTACTCTATCAATCCCTCTGAGAGTTTTATAGGTGGTGATCAAGTCTCGCACAACTCTTCTGTCTTCCAGGGTCGTGAGACTTAGTTCCAACAATCTTTCCTCGTATATCATACCTCTCAGCTCGGATACTAACTAGCCTGGTGGCATGCCTCTGAGCCTTTTCTAACTTCGTTTTGTGTTTGACTAGATGTGGACTTCAGGCTGGAGCCACCTTTTCCAGTATTGTTATGACATGAGGTATACAAGGTTCTGAATGATTCCTTACACAAGTTTTTTAAAAGCAGTTCTTATGTCTGCAAGCCTTACATACGCCACTGATGTTATCCTTTTGATGTGGGCTTCAGGCGTGATATCAACCCCCTGAGCTTTCTCTTTTCTGATACCTGAAGGATTTCCTCTCCCAGCTAGTACCTTGTGTTTGGCCTCCTGCTACCCTACACCTATCTTCATCACTTCGCACTTGCTTAATTTATACTCTAGTAGCCATTTGTTGAACCATTTCTTCAGTTTGTCTAGGCTATCTTGTAGCCTCTTGCAGAACTCCTCTGTCTTAATGCTTCTCATAATTTTAGCATCATCAGTAAACATTGAGTGGAATGAATCTATACCTTCTGAAATATCATTCATGTATATCAGAAACAAGATAGGTCCGAGTACAGAACCATGTTAGACTCCACTGGTGACATCAATCTAGTCTGAGGTCTCACCTCTCACAGTAACTCTTTGCTTCCTGTTGTTGAGGTACTTCCTTATCCATTGGAGTACTCTACCAGTTACATCAGTAAGTTTCTCCAACTTATGTAACATAGTCTTATGGGGTACTGGGTCAAACGCTTTCTGACAGTCCAAGGAAATGTAGTCTGCCTATCTTTCGCTTTCTTGCTTATTGCAGGTTACTTGGTTATAAAATTCTATTAGATTTGTGAGAAACGACTTGCCATCCCTTAACCCATGCTGAGGGTGTGTTACAAAGTCGTTTCTCTCCAGATGTGCTACCAGCTCTTTTCTTACGATCTTCTGCAACACCTTGCATTGCATTCAGGCTAAGAACACCAGCCTGTAGTTTAAGGCCTCCTGCCTATCCCCCCTTTTTTGTATATTGGGACTATGTTAGCTGTTTTCCCACTCTCTGGTAGGTCTCCTGTTTCTTGTTACTTCTTATACACCATAGACAGTGGCATGCAAAGTGCTTGTGCCACCTCTTTCAGCATCCATGGTGAGATTCCATCAGATCCAACAGCCTTAGATACATCTAGACCGATCAGATACCTCCTAACCTCATCTCTAGTAATTTAAATATCTTCCAAGGCTGCTAGGTTTGTCGCCACCCCTCTTAGTTCAGGAACTTCTTGAGTTCTTCACACACACCTCTTTGTCATTCTCTGTGTACCTATCCTTTCCCTTTTTCAGTTTCATCACCTGTTCTCTCACTGTTGTTTTCCTCCTGATGTGGCTGTATATTAGTTTTTGTTGGGTTTTGGCATTGTTTGTTATACCATTTTCAAACTGCCTCTTTGCTTCCCTTCTCACACTGAGATACCCATTTATGGCCCTCTGGTATCTCTATCTGCTCTCTGGTGTCCTGTTATTTCTGTAGTTTCGCCATGCCCTCGTGTTTAGTTGCCTTGCTTTCTTACATGCCCGATTGAACCATTAATTTCCTCTTTGCTTTTTGTTTTTTCTTCTTTTTGCCAGGATGAACCTGTTTTCTGCCTCCTGACACTTCTGGGTGATGTACTCAATCATGTCTTGTACAGACTTTCCTCTGAGCTCTGTCTCTCTTGGTATTCCTATTATAAATTTTCTAATCTCATCATAGTTTCCCCTTCAGTATTCTAGCCTTTTACTTGTCGGTCATTTCCTTGGATGGGGGTTCCTACTTTCATCAGATACTCAAATGTTAGGACACTGTGGTCATGCATTCCTAATTTACTCACCTCTAAGGCAAGTGTGGAACCGATAAAGAAAAGTGTCCTTAATGTAACTTGAATTAACAGCCCTACTATTAGGAGTGAGGCTGGCTCATTATCTTACCAAAACACTGACAAACATCCACTAACATCAAACATTATGTGTGATCAAATAATGAAGCGGTACTACAAAGGGAATGCAATTTTAAAATCAAAACACGTTTCTTGAGTAACCGTGTCAAATAAATCAGAGTTATCAGCTGGATACAAATTACTGTTAGTTCGGACCAAGGAGAAACCAGCTGGCTATTTCTCCAGAGAACTGATGTTGACCCAATTTTCTAAACCAGATATGTGGTTCCATGGGCCTCAGTGGCTAGTCAGTGTTCAGTAGCCTGAACCAAAGCCACAAATCACAATGACCAATATCACTGCTCCAACTGAGATCCCAGATCCTCACTTGACTCCAATAATTGACTGTACCCGGTTCTCTTCACTGGCCAAATTGCATGAAGTTACACAAAATGTGTTTGAGTTCCTACAGAGATTGGGCATCGAGCACAGGATTCCGGGTGCACTTAAGAACTGGGTCAAACAAACACAAGTGCAAACCTATGGAGAGGATTATGAAAACCTCCCACCAAAAAAACATAAATGACTTAAGTCTTTGGATTGACCCAGACAACCACAACACCCTTTGTTGCAGGGGACGATTACAGCATGTAGATATTGACCTTGAAATGAAACACCCTTGGGTAGTGCACCTTCGTACTAGTGTGGACTTCACAGGAGCTATCAATTTGACTGATACCAAGACCCCTGTTAAGATATGATCCTATTTTTCCTTTCATCTTGTGCCACCACTCGGGAGTTCACCTGGAAGTGACTGATATGAGCGCAAAATCATTTATCCAGAACTTCTGCAGGTTTGTTGCACGCAGATTCTGTCCCAAGTTGATGATATCCAAGAACGGGTCAAACTTTATGGATGGTGAAGCATGCCTGAGGGAGATCTGAAATCACCCAGTTGTTTGCACTAATTTAAATAAAAGACAGCATTACTGGAAATTCATACCACCCTGAGCACTGTGAAACGGTGGGTTCTACGAGAAGATGACGGGAACAGTGAAACACTGTTTAAGGAAAACCCTTCACCGCCAGAGAATAGACCTCCAAGAACTCTAAACCATGTTACGGAAACTGAATCCCGATTCAATAACCGACCACTGACTTATCTCTGATGACCACTCACAACATGAACCTCTCAGTCCATCTCATCTGATGTATGAATGACCTTTCACACCTACAGCGTCCCTCATTGACGAGGAACCTAGAGTTTCTCCATACGTTAAAAGCGACTTGAACCATTAATTTCCTCTTTGCTTTTTGTTTTTTCATCTTTTTTGCAGGGATAAACCTTTTCTGCCTCCTGACACTTCTGGGTGTCAGAAGGCAGAAAATCCAAAGTGTATCCAAAGTGATAAACATCTGCCTCGAGTACTCAGCCAGAGGAAGAAATTTTGGACGAAGCAATACTTAACTACTCTGTGTGAGTACCACTGTGAGGCTAATAACCTCTATAAAAGAATCAAGTTACAACTTGGTGATGTTGTTCTGGTGGACAATGCCAGCCCACGCTCAGAGTGGCCCTATTGTTTCTGTTCGTCCAGAGCACCAAGGAACTTCGAGGCTAGTAATATGAAAGTGCAAGGCACTACTAGCCTCAAGACACAATCGAAAATAATACCTTTGGAGTTGGCAGGAGAGCAAGTCGCCAAGAGATCTCAAGGTTTCACATCTCCAATATGCGACATATGTCCTGTATGGCACAACAGTGCAATAAAAGACTAAAACAATATTTTAATAATTCTGAAGAGAAACAATAAAGTGTCTGGCCAGCCCTAAACAGTGAACTCCGACCTCGTCCCTCCCCCTCCCTCCCTTCCTGCGGAATAATATGCAAAATTTTCCCACCTTGTCATACATAATATTACACCTAAATTTACATGTATATACACAAAGAAGATTACGACTTCCCTTGCTGTATTATTTACATTAATTTGAAACATTTGTAAAATCATAACATTAAATCGAAGAATTGCTCGTAATTCTCCTGTCATCTTTATAGTGAAATTCCCTGGGACGTAACATGCCATGTTTGCAGGAGAGTTAATAGTGTCGGAAATACCGACACCCTTTACTAACTTTCAATACAATATGCAGGTAATGTTGCTGCTGATTCTGTATTAACAAATTACCACAAAAGTATTTTATTTGATCATTCAAAGAAAATTAGAATTGTTGAATTTTCCTGAAAAAAATTAGTATATAATTGCCACATCATATAGGGGACTGATAGCTGAGTGGACAGCGTTTCGGGCAGTGAGGTTCCAGGTTCGATCCCTAGTAGAGGCAGCAACAAATGGGGTAGAGTTTCTTTCAGCCTGATGCACCTGTTCACCTAGCAGTAAATAAGTACCTGGGAGCTAGACAGCTGCTACGGGCTGCTTGTCGAGGGTGTGCAACAAAAAGGGGGCCTGGTCCTCGACCAGGCCCCTAATCATCTCAAGATAACCTCACCAGAAT